TTATTATTTTTGTTTAATGCAGCAAGAGATTAGTTTGCCTCCCCACCTCCTCCCAAGCTGCTTTTCCAAGTAGACTGCACCCATTTTGCTCAGCTCAGTCCATTAAATGTAGACAGAGTAAAAAGAAGTTTTAACTTTTAATAAAATGAGAATCGGGGTTGAAAACAATCAATGATGAAGCCAGTACTTGTGGCTGAAGTTTTGGCAATCTCTGCAATACAGTAAAATACTCTAAAGCAGTTTACTACCTAGTAACTGAAACACACCCACTCACAGTATTTAAGCAAACTGGTTACAACCAGGATTAAAATAGGTTCACTCTCGGAATTTCTGTCTCGTCAGTCACCAGAGAGGTTTTTCAGTGTAATGGCTTTCATCAGCAGAGGTTCAGAAATCCTTTTGTAGCTTATTTCGTTTGCAAAAACGCGTCAAAGGTTGTTGTAGAACAGAAAGACTTTTTCCCAATGGATGGATTTTCAGGAATATCAAGCTGAGGAAGAAGGGTACAGTTTCGGGTTTGGATTGCAAACAGATGTTTGCTTGTAAGTGATTTTACTGCTACAAAAACTCAACATGTATTTTAGGGATGAGGACCTGTTCTTGTGTGAGATTTCCTCTGATGGTAATCTATGGCCCTGATCCTGCTTCTTACAGTTAGCAGGAATTTTATCATCTAGTTCCATGGAAGAGGTCTTTTGAGTGCCAGCATTGTTAGAAATACACATAGCATACTAGATACAGGTGGGGAAAGAAGAGAACTTACTCTCTTCCAGAATAAGTTACTAATTTTATAACTTAAAACAACTTTATCAATCCTAGACATTTGTATAGCACCAACCACCAACAGTATTATCACTAAGGCACTGGACTGGTACTCAGCTGTCATGTGTCTACCTCCGTATCTGTGGTCAGTTTCCCACGTAATCACGTATCTTTTGCTTTTCCTGGTACATGATTTTTGACATTGGAAACTAGGATATAATACAAAACATCCCACATCATTTATAGGAATATTGCGCCATGACTAATTACAAGGTGCTCAGATTCTAAAGTGATGAACATTAATATTTCTGTGCATAGATTTACTGATTTAAGAAAATTATCCTGCAGGTATCAATTATGTGCAACATACTGGAACAGAATTAACTTCAGTTCCTCTGGAGTTAATGACATACTCCAAGTTAAATCCTATCCTCCATGCCACGATTCAAAATAGTTTTTAGACAAACGAAGGTAAGCCCTCAGGGCTCCCGTCTCTGACAACTGACCCAGCATGGCTTCATATGCTTTAGCATCAAAGTCTGCTCTGGACAACTTAACAAAGCTCCAGTTTCAGCCTCTACGAGAGCAGGTTTTGATGCTTTCAGAGGCAGCTGAATCTTTTTTTAGTCTGTAGTGGCTTTACTTCTCCACATTATTAGAAACCCCACAACCCTTCAGGACTTATCACTGTTCTGCTGCATCACACTGGCTGCTGAGGATGTTTACTAATGTAAAAACTGCTAAAAGTTCTTGGGTTGAAATAAGTTACTGCAAATGCACAGTAGCTGATTTTTAAACCACAACATCTCTACAATTTATTATTATTTTTACAAAATACCCAAAGTGATCAGACCATATTGTAGGTTACTGGCTTGCCAAAGGTTATGTTTTAAAATCAAAACCATTTCTGAGTTACAGAAGTGCCAAAAACAATCTTGAACCAGGTTTGTTTGTTGGTTTTGTTGTTAGTTTTTGTCTTTTTTTTTTTTTTAAACCAACCCCCATCCAACAAAACAGTTGTATAACTTAAAACAGAAACAAGAGTTTGTGTTGGAAACGGTTTAAAAACCAACCCACCAAATTCATGCTTGAGCAGAATTGTATGGCAAAGATTTAGCTTAGGGCAATTTAGTGCCAAGATATAGACCCTCTATGGGTTTACAATGGAAATACTGACACAACCTCAACTATAGTGATGCAAATGTGCCCTAAAACACTGTATTTGCTTTTATTAATAAAAGTGGTAGTGTTTACATTTGCAGGTATCTTACACTTCAGCATCACGATGAATACTGAGTAGAATGAGTTAAGTTTGGGCTGTAAGGTCAGAAGTTTCCAAACAGATGAATGAGACAGAAGTGAAAGTCCTCAATCATGAAAACAAGAAGTTCAAATAAATAAATAAAACAAAACTAGGAAATATGGGTAAGCATTAGGTTGGAATGGTTCAATTAACTGCAAATTATGGCCACTAAATTAGAGACAGAAGAAAACACAGTTACTTATTAAATAGCAAGCATTAAAGCTTTATGGTTTTGTATTAAAAAAAAAAAAAAAAGAAAAAAAAAGAAAGCTGTTAAAAATAAGACTTGCATTTACCAGGCCACCAAACTGCATGGACTAATAAAGAGACTAACAAAGGCAATACTGAGACATTAAGACACACACACTCCATACTTGTGCAACTCAACCATGTTCAAAACAATTGCCTTTTCCCTCATGTAAGGGAAAAAAAAAAAAAAAAAAAACATCCCCTAAACGTTTCTGTTCATATAAAGCTTTAGGTTTCTTACACTGCTGCTCTCACACGGCTCACTGCAGTATGGATTCTTCTCGCTATCAGAGGAAGAAGCTTAGTTTTTCATTTCTGCTTTTTAGATGGAGGTGCTTTGTTTCTCTCAGCTGAGAGAGGACATTCCTCACAGCACTTCAGGCTTTTCCCATTTATGAATGTGGTGTTTACACCAACTCCTCTGAGGCTTTAAAAGATAAGGGTTGGCACTAAAGATTTTGGCTCCTGTAACTAAAATTAAGGCTCACAATGAATTTCCTTTCCCCTACGTGTGTCCCATTTTTACCCAGTGGAAACACCAGCCCTTAACCTACAGGCACTGGATACATTCTTAAATTGTAGGGGGTTATTTTCTGTCATGTTCTCCTATAGGTCTGCGAAGTTCAGATGGCGACTGTCTAAACCTGTGAACAGGAAAGATCCTTTTCGGAAGATCAGTAGCAACCGCAGCTAAATTTCTTTAGAAGATTTAGTATCTTCTGGAAGATCACCAGTAATTTGAATTGAGAGAGCTGGGACAGGAACCCCATCACGTCTCCACTCTTTTCGTGACAAGGGACCAGGTGATTGATTTTAATTTCAAAGTTTAGCTACAAAAGCAACAAAACCTCACAATTCCAAACAGTTGCAGTTCTTAGTATTAAAAAGGCATCTGATACCTGAAGCAAATCTAGCTGCACAGACATCACTGACCACAACCTCATTTTAATTTAAACTGGACCTCTTCCCAAAAAAGAAAGTCAACACAGTCTCTTGGGTGGAGGGATGTTAGCGTGAAAGGCAGAGAGGCAAGTATTTTGGTGTTTTTGTTTTGCTTCTTTTGTTTTCCTTTTAAAGTCACTGCAGTAAGATCCAGATCAGTTTAGGGGTGAAAATGAAGGAGGAACAGGGGTGTTTGAGTAATATAGGCTAACACTGTTCTAGATGTGTTATTACAGCTGTAATTTCTGACTGTACAAATTGTACACGTAGGTTTAGACACATGAAAAAGTAACACACTCACAGAGACATAAAACACCTAGGTATAAAATATAAAGCAGTGTAGTAGTTACTAAAATTACATGCTCTCTTATTGCTACAGTGATTTTTGCTCTTTTTCTTTTTACTGTACCACATGTTGTTCTAAGCATATAATTTGCATAAATTATTCAAGTTTAAGAAAAATCCACACATCTTCACTTTAAGCTACTTATATAGTTAATATAAAACAAAAAGGTTCTAAAGTATCTCTTTATTAAAAGAGAAATAAAAATGTCACTTGAAATTGGAATTCAGTGGCCAAATCCAAGGGCAGTGCACACCTTGTCATGCCGGTAGCAGTCAGCTCACGCAGCGTGAGCAGAGGTTGCTGGGCTACTTGGCCCAGCCTAGAGATGGTCACCAGACCTGCATGATGCCCTATGTGTCTGTTATTGTTCTGGTTTTGTCTTTAGCAAAGAAAAAAAAAAAGGACTATGAATGACCAAAGACTAACATTTATAATTTGTAGCAAAATTTGGTTTATGTAGAAACAAGCCATGTTTTGCATTTGGATAGAGATTTAAATGAATTAAAGCTAAAAATTAAAAAGCATGATGCTGCAACATCTGGTCACTTGTTGAAGACCTCACTTTTAAAGTGGTTAAGTTTGCACAATTTGTACTTTTTTCTTTTTTTTTTCCTTTTTTTCTTTTTTCTTTTTTTTTTTTTTTACTAAACAGTATTTTTCCTTCTTTTATAAACCAGAAAAACTAAACTACAGATAAATTTTCCCTACCTTGAGCTAATGCTGCAGATAGGGTTGACAAAGCTGTACAGCGCAATCAAACATACTTACATCTTAGCTCATTGTACAGGTACAGCCATAATCAAGGCACAAAGATCTTCTACAAGTTATTTTCAATAAAGTTGTACAAAATAATACATTTTACAGTCTGTACAAGAATAATAATCCAGCAGTAAAATAAAAAATGAGGGGAGGGAAGAAGAAAAAGAAGGGAAAGACTGTGAGGACTACAGTCCAGATAATGATTTTTATAGCAGACGGGATCATCAGTGGACAAACTGAAAACAGTGTGTGGTTAACTCTTTCTGCAATCACAGGCCATACGCAGTTCAATTCATAAATGTCCGTGGTTGTCTTTAGACCACCAAGACTGGTTTTAAAAATACCCTTCTGAAAGGTAGCAGTTGGTTTTTGCACTGTCTAGGTCTGTTGTAGAATTGTCAGTATTTCCGTTCAAAGCCACATTACAGTCAGAGAACCAAACTCAAGTGTCTGTCTTCAAACTTGGTCTGTGACTTGGCACCTTCTTTAGTCTGATGCAGTGAACGATACAAAGTGGAGATCAAGGGTTACATGATTATGCCCACAACAGTGCTAAATTACCTATTTTTCTCTCCCCAATTTTTGTTTTATGTTTCAATTTTTTATCACCAATTCTCTCAGGTGCTCCACATTCAGGGCTTTTAATTAATTAGTTTTTATTTCCTTTTTTTAATTATTATTATTTTTTCTTTTTTGTTAATAACAGTGTTAGGGAATCCTCATGGAAATGGCCTTTTTAAGTGTTAGGGGCCATCTCAAACTGTCCGAGGGGTACAGAAGCAAGCTTAGAAGTGCTGCTATTGTCCAGCAAGGAGAAAAAGTTGAGGGGTGCAAATCAATGGGAGATTCAAACAGTTCTCTTCCACCCTATGTGGGCAAGGGTGGGTTCTTTTTTTTTTTTTTTTTTAATAAGGAATAAGGAGTCCAAAACACAGAAAAAAGTGCTCTCCATCACAACAACTCGTATTGGCGAAGGTGCATGCGCTGAATAATGTCCCGACAGTCATTGAAAACCCTCCGGATGTTCTCTGTATCCACTGCACATGTGAAATGAGGATAGCAATAGTGCCTTCCATCTCCACTTGCTGTGCTGATTCTCTGTTAAAAGAAGAGAGAGATACTGGGTTAAAATAAAACTGACCGGGGAAAACCCCCCATCTTCTCAAAACTCAGGTGAATTCATTCAGGTGAATTAAGATATGTATGCGAATTACATTTTCAAAGGGTGTAACTAAGGGGCAAAATGCCCACCATTTTTCACTCTCACCTAAAACATCAAATTTAAATTGATCAGAATTATATGTTGAGAAGGTCACTACATACCAGGGAATCTCAGAACTGCCCAAGAACAAAAAGTGGCCCCATTAATAACATCAGGACTTCACTCATCATTCTATTTAAGGTTTATGAATTCTCACCAATTCTTTTGCTATTTAATTATTATGTACTGTGTCAACAAATACCCAAAGAGCAGCTAAGAAATAGCAGTAAAGCTCTTAAATGTGCTTTATGCATTGTGGATGTCAAATCTAAACACCAAAAGTGGCATCATTTTGCAAGAGTAGAAGGTGTGTAAGAGCTTATATTTGAGTAGAATCACGTAAGAAATACTGGAAGAAAGGAAATACTGAAAGAAAGGAAATACTTACAAGAAATTCATCTCTAATAAAATACTTGGCCCTTGTAACTCTGGGATCCTCACCAGGCTCTGGTGTTGCTGATTAATAATAAAATAAGTATTTCATTAAAACAGATGGTTTTTTGGTGATAGCACCTAAAAATCGTAACTTGTTTTCTGCTCACATACAATAGAAACATACTTCGCAAAACTGACTATAAGACAAACTATAAAATATTATTTAAAACAGCAAGATTTCAGAACAAAGGCATATTATGGTGGCTGTATGACCAAGCATTCAGCAGGTTAGAAAAATGACCACAGATATAAGCAGGGGGAGTTCAGAGGATGTATTAGTTACAAGCTGTACTGTGGTCTACGTCAGCCAAGTGACAGGATTTTGGCATGATGATAAATATATTAAATTCATAAAAGTCAGGATTCTCTCATTATTAATACTAAAATTTCACATTAGTTTGGCTGAAAGACAATGAAGATTACATCTATTTAAGAGTTTTCGAAGACTTAGCTGAAAAACATTACAGACATGATGAACAAGGAAATTGCCAATAAAACTTAAAGATCTTACCATCATCTGGTGTAGTGTAGCGAGCAAATTCTGGAAAGTAGTCTTCAATTTTAGATTTCCCTGCCAAAACTTTCTCTGCTAGCAAATCTTGTTTATTCAGGAAAAGAATTACTGAAATGGTCCGTAGCCACCTGTAGAAAATTGAAACCAAATGCTCTGAGAAGGCATAGTTAGGCACATTGCAAAATGAAACTTAATCCAGTTCTGGAGACAACAGTCGTATGAGACACTATGATAATTCTAGAAGGTTCTTTTTATACCTGAATCCCAGTGGTGTAATTCCAAGTGTACACACCCCAAGTTTGGTTCTTGTGCCTCTAATGTGGGCAATGGAAGTTGCCCACTTTCTACTGCTGATCCAAACACACTGAATTTTTAGTGTGCTGCTCTATCAGTGCTTTAATTACAGCCTCAATATGGCAACTACCAATTTGTAACTCTCCAGAGTTTTCTTCAATCAGGTGAGTATATTAGACATGAATATAACAGGGAGGCAGCTGTGACTGAGCTCAAGCTCTGACTGCACTGTGAGAAGCACATAACGCAGGCTGTGCTGCAGTTGTGGGCTAACCCCGGTGGGCAGCAAAGCACCTCACAGCAGGTCACTCACCTTCCCCCTCAGCAGGACAGAGGAAGAGGAGAGGAAGAATAAAGGAAGAAAATTTGGGGTCAAGATAAAAAATATAAATAATAATTGTATAACAAGTGAAGGATAAGTGGAAGAGAGAACAAAGCAAACCAAACCAAACCAAACCAAGGATGCAAAGGCAATCACTCACCACCTCCCAAGGGTTTACTAATGCCCAGAAAGATAGGTAATCCTCCTGAACCCCCTTGTTACCCTTTGATTGCCAAGCATGATGTTGTATGGCACAGAATACCTCTTTGGTTCGCTTGGGTCATCTGCCTGCTCCCAACCTACTGCACACCCCCAATCTATCCCTGGACCAGGGCAGAGTGAGAAACTGACAAGGCCTTGAAGCTCTGCAAACACTGTTCAGCAACAGCTACAACATTTAGTGTGCTACCAGTACTGTTTCAGTCCAAATCTAAACCACAGCACCCCATGCACTGCTACAGAGTATTAACTCTATCCTAACCAGTACACAAGTCTTGACTATCGTATATGACAGGATTACTAATTTATTTGATACAAACAATGGAACTTCCATTCACAGACCTGTTGTTCCAGATACTCTTGAAGAGGTTTAGTGCTTCTTGAAGCCGATTGGTCTGATTGTCCTCTCGTATAACCATGTTGTAGCTACTGCTCGCCACCACAAATATGATAGCAGTCACATCTAAATTAAGAAATACCCATCAGTTAATACCAGACTTCAGAAGAAATACGCAGGAATCCCAAAGTTCAATCAAAAGCTGCCAGACTTTCAGCTTCATGAAAAGAACAGGCTGAAATGCTGTTACTGACAGCATTGTAAGTACCAGAAATAAAGAAACTGAAGAAAAATTAAGGACAGAAGAAGCAGGCCACAGAACAGGAGCTGACAGGGTGACAGAAAATGTAGAAAGGAAAGGAACAGAAGCAAGAGAGAAAGTGAAGAAAGCTAAGAGAGAAATTTAAAGAAGGTTTGAAAGGTGTAAAGAAATTCAGAAAGTAACTCTAAGCTATAGAGAAAGGACAGAGATGCCCTTGGGGGAAGACCTCAGAACAAATGGCATGTTTGACCTGCGTGAATAGTAAGAATAAAAAGATTACTGTGCATTCATGGTTAATCACTCTAGTTCTCCTAAACTCTACTGTTCTGGCTTAGAGGCCTCTATCTCTTTCCTGGGAGATATTCCCAGATCACAGAATCCAGATCTCTGTTTCTGTGTGGTTGTGCTGCTCCAGACCCCTTATGCTGACTTCCAAGCTCATCTCCTCAGACAGCAGCAGCAGCAGCAGCAATGAGTCAGACCATGAGGTAACAGGAAAAGGAAGAAGCAGAGGTAAACCCCAAACAGATCTGCTATTAACAGCACAGAAGAAAACACCGCACAGTAGTTCCACACATACGTAAGTATTAAGGTGATATTCTATGACAATGACCATAGCAAAAGACGATGGATTCTAAGTTACATTCTACTTTATTCTGCAAGATCTCACCTCTACAAACGGATAGACTTTTCCATAGCTTCAAATTTTGTCCAGACAGAGACAAAAATATTTTCACCAGCTTTAGCTTTCACACAGTGAGAAAACTAACATTGGGCATTAAAATTCTGCAGAGAACTATTTTATAAAACAAACAAATTCTAATCATACCATTAAAACACTGGATCCATTTCCGGCGTTCATCTCGTTGCCCTCCAACATCAAACATACTACGAAAGAAAAACATAAATTAAGTCAGAACACATCGTGTGTTTGGATTTTCTTCCCCACAAATGCACACAGAAAACATAAGAAATTTTAGGACTTCTGTGTCATAGAAGCTAAAAGGAATTGAGGATTATGAGAACCTGAACAGGTTAATAGTCCACCAGCATGTGCACCGAGAGCTTTCATCATAAAACATATTTATGTTTACTTTCACCAACACGTACACTTGAAGTAAGAAATACTTGTGCACGTACATTGCAGCTTCATTTTCACCATTAAAAACTAAGACATTAAATAAGGTCCTATAAAAAATCATTTGTTGGAACAAGTATCGCAGATCTACAGTCAGTGAGACCATACTAGAACTCATCAGTTTTTATTCAGGTCAAGCAACCTTCTAAAGCTGGGACCATAAAGAGAACATGCATTTTCTGTTACCTGGATATGTACAAAGATTTTGGTCAAATACGGAACTATGTACACCAGCAATGAATCAAATACTCATAAGATTCATTAGTAAAAATAGATTTAAAACATTTTGTTCTTTGAGATTTGAAATAAGAGCAGAAGATTGCACATGAATTTGCATTTCTTTTTAAAGCCAAACTACTAAATTAAAAAAAAAAACAAAACCAAAAACCAACCTGTAAAATACTTGCTTTCTATTAAACATCGACTTGAAATACAGAAATCTCAATGACTATGTGGTAGCCTGTCATCTGATTTACCCTGGCACTGTCTGCATTGTATCAAAAGGAAAAAAAAAAGGAATACTTACTGAAAATTTACTTTATCCACCTGAAACTTGGTTTCAAAAATTCCTGATGTCAAAACTCTGCATCTGAGAAGATCCTAGGGATAAAAAGGAAAGTCACTGATTCACCACAGGTACTTCATAATTCTTCTTATTTCCAGCAACAGAAATACAAACTTTCTACTCAATGCTGCCAGTGTACGCTGTACTGCAGAAACAGGGAACAGAGCACTGAACGTTTTGATCTTGCAGCAGACCCTTTGCCTCCAACATAAAACTGATACTTGTTTTAAAGCTTCATATCTGAAGATTAGTTGCTCCAAATTTCAAATGTTATAGCCTGCATTTCTGGTATCTTGGTTTTTGAAAATAGTAGAATTATTTCCATGACAAGCAAGCCTCATTTATTAAAACCCTCTGCTTTTTGAAAGGGTGAATGATTAATTTACCCATGAACAACTTTAAAGGATATAAACTGCTCTCTCCTCACCAACACTGTCTGTGAAAGTTTTGGGACATGAATATGTTTTTTGGTTATTTATCCTATAAAAGTATGCTACATGCTTAGTTGCATTATTTATGGGCAGAAAGTTAGGAATATACACGTGGTTTTGGATTAGGGATTTGGCCATAAAAAGATCCTCAGATTGTAACAAAATGAAAACTACAATTTCTACTCTGATAAAAAAATATGATTTTCTAACAAGGTTATTTATACAAAATCTGGTATCAGTGGGAGCCAGTTCATGATGGTTATTCAGCATGGAGGGCAAAACATTACAAATTACTCCTGCAAATGGATATTTGAGTTTCAGTCACAGAAGCATGATGAACGTCTTGAATCTAAGCACATTTCCATTTAATAAACATAATCTCAATCCAAATGATAACGTCATTTTTACTGGAATACTAGATAGGTACAGTACATGGTAGTACCTGTATTAGCGCCACAAATGGCAATTAGAAAATCAGTATCATCCTCAAAGACAGAGGGGACAGATAAATTGTGTAATTTCTTAATGAAACTTTCCTTACCTGGTCAGACGGTGTATACTCATTTTGTTTGACTATGTCAATCTTGTCTAGAAAACTGGGGAGAGGAAAGAAAGGGTAACTTTTAATTCTCAGAACAGAGAAACTATCTAATACTTTAATAACTGACAAGTTCCCAGTAAGATCTGTTGTAGTTTAACGCTTCAGATTCACAAAATGCTAAATTTCTTGAAATGAATCAACATTCAATCACTGGTATTTAAACCATGCATTTCCCAGCACCACCCAGCAGAGGGCCAAGTCCACAGTTTTATTAATCAGGGCTGGAAATTTCATTCCAACCCCTCCGGCTCTGCTCTGCTCCCTCCACTAACAAACATACAAGTAGTTTAATTTATGTAATATACTTACAAAAACTGTACAATATATCTGCTGCTGCTAACGGTAAAGCAATGGCCCAAATTGCCTACATGTCATTTTCCTGAAAGTTAGATGAGTATTTAAAAAAAACCATAATTCTTTTCATAAATGCAATCCCCAAACCAATTCCATGACAAGCTCAGTTAAGTGAGAGGAAATACTAATTTTTTTCTGTTGATAGTTGGTACCAGTTTTCAGTAGCAGCAGTAGGCAAAATGGGTATAAAAAGATCTATTTTATTCAAATTCATTAGGCAATAGCTAAAAAGAATACCCTGGAGTCTTTCAAATACTTTTATCAATTAATTGTAACCTCCTAATTATTCTTGACTTCAACTCAAAGAAGTAAAAATCTCAAGAAAGCAATCTGTTAACTCTCTTTTATTGTGGTGTTACTACGAGACTAAAGACAGAGCAAACCAGCAGCTCCAGGATGCAGATTTAATGCTGTCCACCCCCTATCCACACTGCCCAACACCAAGTATGCAGCAGGGCTGCCCAGTGCTCAGACACCTTCCACTGCAGTACTATTAGGAGATCTAGCAATGCTCCTACATGTAACTTTACCCCTAATATTAATGATTAATTACAGTCTTAAACCCAGTACCCTTGCTTTTAAGAATTTCCTTTTAAATTCCTTTGCATGAATTTTTTTCTTTATGGAGCAGAAATCATGAAGCTGGGTTTTCCCTTCTGATCCCTACACATAGGTAGATATGCTGGAAGTGCATTACCTATGGTTGCAGGCAACAGTTTGAAGAGGGGGTGGGATAGGTAGCCATGTCCCAGATTCACAAATCACAAAGCAAACTCCCATTAAAATCAGGAAGGGTCTTAGCCCTCAGCTTCAGCCCCTACTCTCCAACTGACTTCCTAAAACACCTAATGAAGAGCAAGGGAAGGAGGAAAAATAGTTGTATACTTCAGTGTAATGCCCTTTTCTCCAGGAACTAGATAACCATCCTGTTTCAGAGACAAATGAAAAGTAACTGCTGTTTAGTCTGAACTACAGAATTTTAAACACATGAAAATGTATCATAGTAAACATGCTGCTAAAAACACGATACGAAATGTAAAGATCAAATTCCATCATAAAAAGTGATCAGGAGACAGATAGAAAAAAATCTAGTGACAAACTGTGTTTGCAATTTTTCCTCATCTCTCCCAAGCTGTTAAGTAATTTTATTTTTCTTTTTTTTTAATCCAAAGGTAAAGAAGTAAAGCTCTGGTCAGTTCGCAGAGGATGTTAAAGATGTGTAACAATCATGGATTCCAACTAGTGTGAGTGTTGCCGTATTATATTCTCCCCTAAGACCACGGTTTCAGAATCATGTGGCAATTTCACAAGTTGGAGGACGCTTGAAAAATGTCCAGAACGTAACATGTTCATAAAGATATAAAGGTGATACTACAATGACCCAGCATTTCTTGATTGATCTAAGGAGAACATTTTATGCAAAGGTTCCGTATAAGGTGGTTTTTTTAAAAGTATTTTTATTTTCATTTTTTAAATTTGGTTTTGTTTTTAAACACTCTGCTAATCAGCTTAATGGATTTTGGAAACTGACAATTAGAAAATAACAACAAGATATTGCTAAAACCTGGAACTGAAAGTACAAAACCTCTTACTGTTGTTTATGCAGACTATTTTTAGGCCTATGATTTCCTTGAAAAACATCAGCCACATAGGAGCAGCAGTACTGTACTTGAGATGAATTCCAATAGCAATGTTCATGCCAGGTAAAACAAGTCTGAATGGAATAAACATTTCTTCTTCCCCCCAAAACAAGTTCCAATATTCAGGAACATCTGATACTCGTAACAATACTAGTTCAAGAAGGAAGTCTTTCACTGTGTGATAGTTCCCAGAAAACCTTCCCTGCTTCCAGTGGCATTTTAGGGAAAACGGAGCAAAGCAATATGCTGAATGAAGATTTCCTCCTCTGCATGTGCCTTTTCATGAAAGTCTGCTCTAGACACTTTAGAGAGGGCTAAAAACATTAAAAACCAGTTTGATTTTTTTGCTCAAACATAGAAAAGGGATTATTTCAGTTGGTCAACTGAAAAATAAATGTGCTCTAAGGAGAAAAGAGTAGCAGAAATTTGATCTAGTCTGATACACCTAAAATAAGGAGCAACAGTGGGAGCGTGAGAGTTCAGAAAAGATCAACACACTATGTTCAGAGACTTCCAAGTCAATGTTAATCAAGATCAAATAATTTCTCCAGTAAATTAAACTAATAATCAAGTCAGATGAGAACAAAGCCTAATTTAAAATAAAAACAAATTCACCATCATTAATTTCTATTTTTAATTCTTGTTCTGTTCTACCCAAAACACAAGTGAGGCCACTTCAGCACCGCTTTGTGTGCTGAATTCACCGCTGTTATAGATTGTTCTAAGCCTCCTGGAGATATGCCCACCTACTATGTCAGCAACGAAATACACAGGGAGAAAGAAAAGCGACCTTGGTGAAATAATTCAAATACAACTGTCAAACCACGAAACCAAATTTTATCCTGTGAGCAAGCCTTGCACCAACTTATAAACTCAGGGGTTTCTTCTGTAAAATTTTCCCAGAGATTATATGGGAAAGCTGTTTTCCAGAAAGCAAATCATGCATTCAGCATCGCTGCCAATTCTCACTTTGGGCCAGATTCTGGACATGACTAACTAACGGATCAGTTATTGCTCTGCAGAATACTGTCACTTAATGTAAGACACTTTTGCCTGTGTTATCATAAAACATCGATACTGTTGTGACACATTAAAAATAGAAAAAAAATAGAAAAAAAGAAGACTTTAAGGCTTTAAGTCATTTGTACTCAGCAACACTGGAGAAGGAGTATCTCTAGGACAGCAGCAGACACGTCACCAAGATACTAAATGAAAGGTATCAGTAAAAATTAAATACGAATTAATAAAAGCAATCTGAAATAAAAAATGCACTTTATTTTGGGGTCTCCTTCTTCAGCTTGGGGAAGGAGAAAACAGCATGTGAAATATTTTAAACAGATCTTTGTAAAGAATGCAGTTTCTTTAAGGGGTGCATGTAGGAGGCTGACTTCATACAGAGAGATACACAGAAGCTTTCCTTAGCTCCTGCAGGTCAAAGTAATTAAGTCATACATGTATTGCCAATTCTTTCCAAATTTTTAATAAGCCTATTATGTCAAAACTATGCTCCAATTTTCAGATCAAGATATATGCCAGCTACTGATTCATTCTGAAGTTCCTTCATACAGAGAAAGCTGTTAATCCCTATGTGGGGGGAACTTCCTGAATGAACAATGCTGCTGCCGGACTAAGAGCTGCAGCCTGCACTCATTTTTCCCCACTGGAAAGGTATAGAACACATTATATCTTCCACCTCAAGAAACAACATAACTTCACCGATGTCAGAAGAACAGGGAGGGGGGAAACCACACTGCCTCTCCTTGAGCATTTCCTGACAGTCTTTTCAATAAACACTAACTTGAAGTTTTACTCTCTGTGATCTGACAAAATGGTTGGCAGACAAGAATTATTCTTTCTTTTTTGCTTTGTGAAGAAGAGCTTTTGTTTTCAGTCTAAAACAGCACTGGAAAGGTCTCTTCAAACTGACAACACACCTATATTTGAAGAGCTTTATTTCCATCAGATTTTTTGTCAAGTCATAACCTGAATTTAAGATCCCATCTTTTGTGTCAGTAAAATCAAGAATTCAAAATTTTAATCCCAATCAAATACAAAGTTTGTTCATAACTTACAACCCCCAACTGGAGCTCCCTATTAGTGAAGTTTCTTGCTTTTGAAAGCCTCACGGTATTTTACAGACAGTAAATCACACTCGCAACTCCTGCTTGCCTTCATTCATGCTGCATTTCTTGCCTCTACCCTCGCATCCTGAACTGCACACCTTACATTAGCCCTGTTTTAAAGGTAGGCACACAGGGAGTAAGTTAATTGCCCAGAGTCCCCTGAGTCAGTGGAAATGGAATTTTCATTTCCTGAGTCATGTGTTTTTATCAAGATATTACTAAGAATCAACCAGAATATTACCAAGAATTATCAAGGTTTTACTAAGAATTAAAGTTGTATTTACCCTGATGACTGATAAGACAGTCGTTACAGTTCAAGTTTCTATGTCCGAAAAGAAATTAAAAGAAATTTGTTTTCTGATCTCCCTAAGGACTAAACTGTGCAAATGCCCAGCAGATTTTTACAGAGTTACCTCTACCCTAACAGGAATAAAAACTAACTCAAAGCTCTGTAAAGCAGTTTTAAACTGCGATTTAACTCAACATTAAGTGTTTACAAACAAGAGTGTATTTTTTATTTCTCAGAATAGATCATGCTTTACTTCTACTTTACTCCCATTGCCATAATCCTTTATGTTATTCAGCAACAGCTTTCTAAAAGCTAAATGGTTAACTACTTGATAAATTCTGTCTTTAGCTACGTTGACTGTGCTGAAGCCAGAGTCACAGGGGTAGTACAAAGATGTAATATTCCCTTTAAAAGGGAATATTAATACATCACAGTAACAAATACATCATGTATAAACTGTACCTTCAAAACAGTTTAAAAACATGTTAATATAGAAGAGTTTTCAAAACCCTGAAAAGGCAGGTCTGTTACAGTGTCTAACCCATGGCTTCCCACGTAGCGTCCACACACCGACACTGACTCGGAGCAC